GAAGATGAAGAAGAGGAAGGGAGATGGAACCCACACACTCACACATCATATAATTAAACACATAAATCATCAAATGAACAAGAACTTCGATATTATTTCTGACAGCACACACAAGAAATTGGTTCCCAGGCAAGGGTAGCGGGGTGTCAGGGTGACCTGCAGTGGGAGGGAGACACTGTTTTCACTTTATACTGTTACAATTTTTCACCACTCTGACAAAAACCCCTGCTCCCAATACCTGTTTCCCCTTTCTCCTATGATACTATGACCCCTGATTTTTAGCCAGGATCTCAGATAAAGACAGCCTTTCTCATTATCTTCACCTAGGAAGACATTTGGTTCAGTTACAGCAAGTGAGGGGTTAGAGTAAGGAACCATCCTTACAAAAGGGACACAAAACCTTGGTGCCTTCTTCATCCTCTCTGCCTTCCTGCTGTTTGGAATGTGGCCGAAATGGCTGGAGCTCCAGCTGCCATGTTTATTAGTATATATTAATTGTCTGTAGTAAGGGGTTTCATTTTGACATTTCCATGCATGCACACAATGCACTTACATCGTATTCACTCCTCCTTCCTGCCTGTTTCCTTTTCCCTTCTACCCTCTACTAGTCACCACATCTATTTTCAGGACTTTGTTTTGTTTCTCATTGCTCAACTTCCACCCATGAGAGAAAATGTGTGTCGCTTGTCTTCATTCAATATGATGATCTCCAGTTTCATTCATTTTCCAAAACATGACATAGCTTCATTCTTCTTAATTGTGTGTATATGACCCATTTTCCTTATCCATCCCCCTGCTGATGGGTACCTAGGCTGACTCCATAATTTAACTATTGTGAGTAGTGCACAGTATAGACAGGTATTCAAGTATCTCTATAGTAAGCTGACTTCGATTCTTTTGAGTAGACACCAGTCATTACCATTATGGGAGTCCTGTGGCTAATTTACTGAGACACAGCCATACTGATTTCCACAGTAGCTGCACTAATCTACCTTCCCACCAGCAAATACGGCCTCTTTTGCCCCACATCCTCACCAGTTGTTTGTTTTCGTAAAATAGCCATCGTGAGGAAAACATAAGGGAAATACTTTAAAATATAGGCACAGGAAAGACTTTCTGAACAGGAAATAAGAACAAGAATTGATAGATGGGATTGCACCAAATTAAAAAGGTTCTGACCATTGCCATGAAGCTGAGGGATGGTGGAGCAGGTGCTGGAAGAAGTCTGGGCCGTTGGCCAATTCATGGTGCAGAGCCATGACCACCCCTTCCAGGCAGACTTCGGGGTCAACTTGGGCTGACAGAAATATGAGAACCACAGAGTGAGCTGAAGAACTTATCCTAAATTTTCTAATATACACATTTTGAAAATCAAAAGACAAGAGGTAAAAAATCAATTTTATTCATATTCTGTTTAACCCAGCCCAGCCTGTTTCTGAGACAGGGTCTCACTAACCTTTTGCCTTGGCTTGCCTTGAACCACAATCATTTTATCTCCATGTACCTGGGATTAAAGGTGTATGGTACCATGCAGCCTTAATAATTGTGAACTCCTAGTTTATCCTATAGGCATCCTAGCTCCATTCGTTTATAATCTTGCTGTGGGTGTAGCTGACATCTCTAATGGTTTTAAATATTTTATTTATATATCTGGGGTTTTTTGATGGCTTTTGTTCTTGGTGTCTGCTTTCTCTCCTACTAGTGGTGCTGGGGTCATAACCTCAAAAGCAGGCGGTCCTGACTGTAAAACGGGTGACATTAAGGGGAGGGTAAGTGAAGGGGTAAAGGAGGGTAAATATGGTTGATGTACTTTCTACACAAGCATGAACATGCAACACTGAAACCTGCTAAAGTCATTTTAAGATTTAGGGGAGTGGGGCAGGAGGGAGAGTAATGGAGGGATGAACCAATCTGGGCTGTGAAACACTATAAATGTCACAATTGTCACAATGAACCACCTGTATGACATCATAGCCTAACAAAACGTGTAGGTGTTTTTTGCAGTACTGGCATTTGAACTCAGGGCCCACACCTTGAGCCACTCCACCAGCCCTTTTTTGTGATGGGTTTTTTTAAAGATAAGGTCTCACAAACTATTTTCCCAGGTTGGCTTTGAACTGTGATCCTCCCGATTTCTGCCTCCTGAGTAGCTGGGATTACAGGTATGAGACACCAGCACCTGGCACAAAAGTTTTTTTTAATGAAGAACAGGAAGATCACACAGGTCCTGTTTGGGGTTGGGGACCAGTGGGAGATGGTGGGCACAAGGAACTGATGAATGAGCGTGAGTATGGTGATGTCCTTTGTATCCATATATGAAAATAGAAGAATGAAACCTGTTGAAATTGTTTTCGGAAGGGAGGAGAAGGAAAAGGGAGAACAATGGAGGGGGTAAAACTAATTAAGATATATTGTAGGAACATATGTGAATGTCACAATGTATCCCCTGTACAACTATAATATGCTAATTTTTTTAAAAAAGAGAAAGTTGCCCAATAAGAACCCCCCATAAAAAGCTGAAAGAGATATCCATCCCAACAGACGTGCAAATGGCAATACAGAATCACAAGAAGTGCAAGAAAGCAAAGCTCTATGACTCCTCCAAAGATCATAACCCATGGATAACTGAATCCAACGATACTGAAGTAGGTGAAGTAACAAAGAATTCAAAAGCTTAAAGATGACAAAAGGGATATCACAGTAAGTGTGAGGCCCTGAGTTCAAACCCCAGTACCTCAAAAAGAAAAAACAGATCAATGACCTCAAAGATGATTCAAACAGATGAATGAAGTAAGGAAGTCAACCAAGTTCTGGGCAAGAAAGTCGGCAGTGGATAAGGAATTCAGCAAGGAAATTAAGATTCTAAAAAAAAAAAGAAGCCTCTAGAAGGGCACCCTTTGAGGGGCATCAGGAGGAGGGCAAGGGGGAATTGAACATGATTGAATACTAAAACAATGGTCAGGACAAGGCACAGTGGCCCATGCCTGTAATCCCAGCTACTCAAGAGCTGGAGATTGGGAGAATTTTGGTGTGAAGTCAGTCTGGACAAAATGACACCAAGACTCCATCTCAACAAACAAGCCCAGTGTGGTCATGTGCACCTATAATCCCAGCTACTTAGAAGGCATTGGTAGGAGGACTGTGTTCTGAAGCTAGCTCCAAGCAGAAAGCATGAGACCCTATCCAAAAAAAAAAAACTATAGCAAAAAAAAGGGCTGGGGGCATGACTGAAGGGGTAGAATACCTGCCAATCAAATGCAAGGCCCTGAGTTCAAAACCTCAGTACCTTAACAAGAAACCCCAATTAAATAAGTTAGGCCATAGCCATACAGCAGACTCCAGTTAGTTAAAAACAGGATGCAAATGCTCGTTGATATGAAAATCTCTCCAACATGTACTGGTAAGTGGAAACAAAGGACAGAACTGTGTGCAGGGTGCGTCCCCTTTTGCTAAAAGAAGGAAATGCAAGCATATAAATACGTGTGGTGTGTATCAGCTATGATTATGTAACACATATTATGTCTGTGTTACATAAATGTGTAATATATCGATACATGTTATGATCTGAACCTTTTGTTTTTGAGCTAGGGTCTAGCTGTGTAGCCCAGGCTGGCCTTGAACTCCTGATCCTCCTGCCTCAGCTTCCCTAGCGCTGGGATTACAGCACACCTGCTTGGCTTGGATGTTGACTGTCCCACAGAGGCCTGTGTGCGCAAGGCTTGGATTCCAGCCTGGGCGCTCTTGGGGAATGGTGGAGCTTTGGGGGAAGGGTGCTTAGAGGAAGGAAGTGAGGGCACTGGGCTTGTGTCCTGGAGGGGACACCCGGGTCCCCTCCTGCCTCTGTCTCTTTGCTCCCAAGCTGTCATGAAGTGGGCACCAGGAGCTCCCTGCCATGATAGCCGGCCTTCCCACAGGCCCAGGGGTAGTGGGCAGCAACCACGGCCAAAATGACACCTCCTCCTGGTAAGCGGCTGGTGTCAGCTATTGTGTCAGGAAGGGAAAGCTGTGGCACCGGGTACTAAGTCTACAACTGCACGTTCTGTTACACGGTACATAGCGCTGAATAGAATAGAAATGTGCTTGTTTCCTACTGTGGATTTTACTTTTCAAATATTTTGTATGTCAGATTACAGATGTGAATATCTAGTGAACATGCCACCTGAGGTTGTGTGATCACGCGTGTTCATGTGTGCGTGTGTAATGTGCGTGCGTGTGCACGTGTGAACACGGGAGTATGCATGCATGTGTGGACGGATGGTGTGTGCATGCACGAATGCGGGTGTGTGCACGAATGCGTGTCAATTTTACACACACATTACGCTTTCTGAATGCTTGCCACACACAAGACAATCACTTCACAAACCGCAGAATTTGTTCAGAGGCGGACATGCCTAAAGCGACAATCTCACCGCCCTGTCCTGCGCGGGGTTGGGGACAGTGTTTAGGGATGTTTAGCACAGGGGACCGGCTAGGATGTCAGTAGTCCGCCCCCCAGCCGACCACGGCCCCCCACAGCCCCCCACGGCTCCACGACCCTCCATGCCCTCGCCCACAGAACTGCCCCTGAGCACATCTGACAGTGACGTCTTCGTCCCTTGAGTGACGTTAGTAGGACGTCACTGGTCAGCCTCACATGGACTCTGGGAAGGCATCGGGCACTGTTACCACCCTGACTCAGGGTTCCACACACAGTGCATAGGGGATGCTCCTCACATATGGCCGCTTCCTCACGCGGCCTCAGTGATTTTAAAGCCATCTGAGAGACACTAAGGGCAGGGGGCGAGGAGGGTTTGCTCAGACATCCACAGACACCCTAAGACGTCTCAGAAGCCGCACAGTGGTGTCTGCTTGTTTTTATTCTTTAGGAGGGGAGAAGCATTAGACAGATGAGGCTCACAAGGCAAAGGAAGTTTCCACTGTACACTGTTTACTTATTTTCAAATTTTTGAAACTACGTAAATTCCTCACAAACCTCTTTTGAAGGAAAGGAAATGGCTGCCATGACCTTCTCGCCCTATCTCCTTGACTCCGCCCCTATCCGCCCCGTCCGAGCCAAGACAGCCAATCAGCACCAAGCGCGCGCACCGAGAGCTCGCGCAGACCCCCTCAGGCGCATGCGCATGCGCATGCGCAAGCGTTTCCCGCCAAATCAGTGTGGTCGCGCGCTTCCAGTCAGCGAGTGAGCCCTGCTTCAGCGTGAGGAAATTGAGGAGAGCTTACCACGCAGCGCAGGCGGGCGGCCGGGCGTGGGGGGGAGGGACAGGGTGGCAGCAAGAGGGGAGGACAACTGGCACTGGGTGAGGGACAGGGACGACCGTGGGGGAAATGGGAGCCTTGTTGGGGTCGGTGACCAAAAGTGAGGAACCCATCTGAGAGCCCTGCAGAGAGAGAACCAATGCCACAGAGGACGAGGTAAAGACCAGGTAATGAAAGTGAGGGGATGGGGAAACAGCATCTGTCCCCAAGAGTCCCTCACCCTGTCCTCCTCAGTGTCACCACCCCAGCCTCGGTGTCCCTCACCCCTCAGTGTCCCTCCCCGTGTCCTCCTCAGTGTCCCTCATCCTGTCTTCAGTGTCCCTCATCCTGTCTTCAGTGTCCCTCATCCCTGTCCTCCTCAGTGTCCATCCTCTCAGTGTCCCTCACCCTGTCCTCAGTGTCCCTCATCCCTGTCCTCCTCAGTGTCCCTCACCCCATCCTCCTCCTCAGTGCACCTCACCTCTTTTTCTCAGTATCCCTCACTCCTTCCTTCTCTCTCCCTTCTATGCCCCTCACCTGTGTACTCCTCTCCCCCAGTGACTCTTACCCTTAACCTCTTCCTCCACATAATATCCTTTGCCCCTGAATTCATCCTCCACCTCCCTACTGTGCAACTGCCCCTGACGTCCTCCTCCTGTCTGACCTTCCCCTCCCTTCTGTGCCACCTACCCCAAACCATTGTCCACTTAGTGCTTCTTGCCCAGATCTCCTTCTCCCCGCAGTGCTTCTTACTCCAACTTCGTCTTCTCGCATTGCTCCTTTCCCTGGACCTCCACCTCTACACAAAACTTCTCACCACTGACCTCCTCCCACAGCTGCTTACCCTGACCTCCATCTCTTCCTACTGATGCTCACCCCTGACTTTCTCCTCCACCTTCCAACAGGGCTCCTAACCCTGGTCTCCTCCTGTCAATTCTCCTTGTTCCTGACCACCACCTCCACTGAGCACTCCTTATCCTGGACCTCCATTCCAATTAGTGCTTCTTATGCCTGACCTCTAACTTCCCTCAGTGCTCCTTTCCCTGGGACTCCCATACTGTTCCTGATTGCTGGCATCCTCCTTCTTTCAGTGCTCCCTGCCCCTGACTCTGCCTCCCCCAATTCTCCTTACTCCAGATCTCCTCTTCTCGGTGCTCCTGACTTTGACATTCTTCTCCCTTTAGTGCTCTCTAACCCTATATCCTACCCTCAGTGCTCCTTACCCCTGACCTCCACCTCCTCCATCCCTCCTCTTCCACCTCACTTCCCCTCAGTGTTACTCAAGCCTGCTCTCCTCCACCTTAGTTCCACTTCCCTCAATGCTTCTCACCCTATTGTCCTCCTCCACCTGTCCTCAGTGTTCCTCACCCAATCCCTCCTCTTCCACCTGTGCCCCACCCTCCCCTCAGTGTCCCTCACTCCTACCCCTCCTCCTCAGCTGGACCCCACCTTCTCTCTCAGCCCTGTCCTCCTACTTCTCAACCTGAGTCCCACTCCTCCTTTTAGTGTCCCTCACCTCTGCCCTGGCCCAATATGTCCCCTCTCAGCCCCACTTCAGCCTTAGCCACTACTTTGACTTCTGATACCTCAGAATTATTTTCCCTGTTTTATAATCATGTGGACTCATGTAACATGAGGTGTTTTTAAGCCTCTGCTTTTACTCAAGACACATATCCATATTATTTTTTTCTGTTTAAAGGTCTGGTATATTAGCATTTCTTTCTATTTGTCTCCATATCATTGCAAACACTTAGTATTGTCTGGACACGTGGAAGGTATGTAGTGGCATTCCATTGTGGTTTCAGCTTGTGTGTCTCTGGTGACTAATGAAGTCCAGCCCCATTTGATGTTCCCTGGTCGTGTAGCTATCTTCTCTTGTGTAATATCTGTCCAAGTAACTTTTTTATTCTTGTTTACTCTGGCTTTTTCTTGTGAGTTCTTTGTTTTGTGTATATCCAGTCCTTTGTGTAGTATATGTATGTGTGTATACATATATATACATATATATTATCTTTCATATATATTTATAGTATCTTCTGTCTTCTCATTCTATGTAATAGTTGTTTTAACTCATTTGTGTTTTTGTTGTATATCTAATTTGTACATCAGATTTCTTTAGTTCATTGTGGCTCATGTGTCAGTCTCTTTTTTCTTTTGTACCATTTTGACACTCTTCTAGCCTGCCTGATGGTTTTCCAGACTTGAGAATAGGGCCAAGGCACCATCTATGTCTGTATGTGCACAAATCTATAAATGTATATTTAGGCACATGTGTGAAATGAGCAAACTCCCTCTGCTTCAGAGGACCCCCACCCTGCTATCCAATTCTAAGTATGCAGGCCATTTGTAAGTAAGTCTCTCTATGTAACGCATGCAGGTCCTGAGGTCTTGGTATCCTTTTATCTGATACAACTACCCACCATCTTCCACAACATTGTGTTCCCGAGGAGCCTACCTTTGAAAATACTTCCATCCTGTAAAGGATCAAGCTGCAAAGAACCTACACATGGCAGAGGTTTCGGGTATCTTGAGAAATCTCAACACTGTTCGACTACATGGTCAAGAAGAGAATCCAGAAACCATCCCCATAAGAAACCCAGGGACTCTGAAAATGTTCCATGAAAAACTTAGACATTTTCAACATTTGTCAATGACTGGACCTCAGCAAGCTGTTAGCCAAATCCAGAAGATGTGCCGAGAATGGCTGCAGCCTGAGACCCACAGCAAGGAGCAGATGATAGAGCAACTGGTGCTGGAGCAGTTTCTGAGCACCCTGCCAGAGGACGTTCAGACGTGGGTGAGGTCAAAACAGCCCAAGAACAGCAGGGAAGCGAGCACCCTTGTGACAACGTTGATCAAGGCATGTGAGGAGAAAGGTAAGACAAAAAGGAAGCAATTGGTTGTTTCTGATTATCGAATGTCTGCTATATGCCTGTCTGCAGTTGGAGATGAATAAAATTTGTTGAATGGAAGAATGAATTTTATATCATGTATAATACGTAATGGTGTACTTCAGTCCTCTTCTTCCCTCAGTATCCTTTCCTCCCTCCCCCTTCCCATTGATCTCCCAGACCATTCATGGAACATGAATTTGAATTATTTTTTGTTCATTTATTCACATGTGCATACATTGTTTGGGTCATTTCTCCACCCTGTCCCCCTCCCCATCCATCCCCCGCTCCCTTCCTCAGTTTCAGGCAGGTCCTGTTCTGCCCTTGTGACTGATTTTGTTGAAGAAAAGACATAAGCATAATAAGAAAGACAAAACGTTTTTACTAGTTAAGGATAGCTGTACAGAAAGATTCCTACTATTGCTCTCATGTACCCGTATGTTACGACCCATGTTGATTCAACTCTAATGATCTTTACATTGGTTCCTGAACCCATGCTAGTGATAACCTGTTGTTTTAAGGTTTCTGTATTAGCTCCTCTGGAGTGGGGACATCAAATGCTTTCATGTTTTGGGTTTTCTACCTATTCCTATATCTCCCGTATGTGCTCTCCCCTTTTCTTGTGATCCAAGTCCAACCACATTGCTGCATTTGCCCTAGATCTAAAGTCTGCATATGAGGGAGAACATATGATTTTTGGTCTTCTGAGCCTGGCTGACCTCACTCAGAATGATGTTCTCCAGTTCCATTCATTTACCTACAAACGATAAGATTTCATTTTCTTCATGGCTGAGTAAAATTCCATTCTGTACAAGTACCACATTTTCTTGATCCACCATGAATTTGAATTATTACCATGATTAAAATGATTATTGTCATCATTTTAGGTCTAGATTCCACAAACGAGTGAGAACATACAATATTTGGCTTTTTGAGCTTGGTTTATCCCATTCAACATGATTCCATCCATTTACTTCCAAATGCCATAATTTAAGGGTTTTTTTCACTGTTTTTTATTTATATTTGTTTATTCACATGTGCATATATTGTTTGGGTCATTGCTTCCCCCTACCCCTCACTCTTTTTATTTTTTCTGGCACTGGGGTTTGAATTCAAGGCATCACGCCTGCTAGGCAGGCACTTTTACCACGGGAGCCACTCTGCCAGTGATTTTTTTTGATATGGTGTCTCATGAACTATTTGCCTGGGACTGGCTTTGAACCACAATTCTCCTGATATCTGCCTCCCAGGTAGCTAGAATTACAGGTGTGAGCCACCAGCACCCACCTCATTTTTCTTAGTTTGCAGTGAGGATCCAAACCTAGGTGCTGCTCTTGGGTCTGTTCTCTTAATTACAATGTTACACTGCCTCCAGTGGACATGATGGGTATTGTCCTTGAGGTTAAAAACCTGACCAAAGCACAGAACTGTTGAAGCTGAAGTCCAGGGGAAATGGAAGGGAACTTTGCAGGGATGAGAAGAAAACAACAGCTGGGTCCAGTGGCTCACAGCTGTAATCCCAGCTACTTAGGAGTCTGAGATTGGGAAGAACTCAGTTGCAGGACAGCCTCGGCAAATAGTTGACAAGAATGCCAAAATAAGCAGAGAAAATGAACTGAAAGTGTAGCTCAAGAGGTAGAGCCCCTGCTTTGCAAGCATGGAGCCCTGAATTCAAATCTCAGCCCCAACAAAAATAAATGAATAAGAAGAAAACAACATATTAATAAAAGGTGCACTTGAAAAAGACTACAGGCTTTTGGAGGGATGGTCATGGTTATCTCCTAGATAAGTAAGTGAAAAAGATCTAAGAAAGACTCAATATAAGTTTTCCACTTCCGTATGCCTTACATTTGTAACAGTTAATCTTCACAAGAGCCCTTAGAGATGTGTTTCTGTTTTAACATTGAGAAACTGAGGTTTCCTGGGGATGTGATTGGACAGTAAGGCTAGATATCAGTGATCCAGAGAGAACCTTCCCTTCATTTGGAAGGCAGTGGGGAACGGAGCCATGGAAGGGTTGAGAGCTGGGGAATGATGGGCGTTTTCTTTAGGAGCTTGCTGTACTGAGAAATGATTTCTGTGGGTTTTTTTAACCATAGGAAGCCCAGTAGTACTGTTCTCCCCCATGGTAGAACAGGCTGGTATGAGGGTATCTGTGGGTGCTGCCAAAAAAGACTCAATTCCACGGTTATTATTCTCATCCCTTTAGGATTTCCTTCTCAGGACTCTGAACTTGAGGAAAAGAAGGAAAGCAAAGAATATCTAAAGAAGAATATAAAGATGTCAAACCAGCTACCATCAGCTAAGTCCCAGGTGAGATAGGCTTTCTTGTGACTTGCTTTTCAAATATAGGAATCTAACCTTCCCAATTTCCACACCTTCCCTATTAATTCACATCCTCATTTCCACTAAGCTGTTATAGAAGTAACATGTTACTGAACCTTTTCTTTTGGTTAACCTGAATTTTTCTTCTAATTCTGTGTCTGCCTTCCCTGTTTACTTTTCTCTGTTGCACTTCAATCACCAACCCACATACTATATATTTAAGACTTTTTCCTCTTTCTAGCTCTTGAATTGTTTGTTTTTTACTATTCCATTTTATTTAGGGCAAGCTTTGTGGTTTGAACTGTCATTGTCCCCATCTTTTTTTTTATTTATTAGCATATTATAGTTGTACGGGGGATCCATTGTGACATTTACATATGTGCTTACAATTTTAATTATTTCAATTAGATTCACTCCCTTCATCTCCCCCCTCCCCCTTTGTAGAACAATTTCAACAGGTTTTATTGTTCTATTTTTATAGATGAATATAGAATACATTTGCCATATCTGCCCTCCTTCACCCTTTCCTATGTCCTCCCCTCTCCCCCTGGCACCCATCCCCGGAAAAGACCTGTTTTACCTTCCTGTACTTCATTTTTTAAAAAACATTTTCATTGTTTCATTGTAACAGTTCCATATATATATATATATATATATATATATTCATCTCCATTATTCTCCCTCCTACCCCATTCCCCTAAATCTTAAAGTGACTTCAACAGGTTTCCATTTTCCAAGTTCATTCTTGGATAGAAAGTACATCAACTATATTTGCTCACCTTTACTCTCTTCTTTTACCCTCTCCTTCCCTCTACTGCCCTCCCCTTAACATGACCTGTTTTGCATTCTTGCCATTCATCATTTGGGTGTCTTGTTTGTTTATTGTTCAGTGGGGATTTTGCCTTGTAATATATTTACCTGTAAATATATTGTGCTTAAATCGGTCTAACCTCTGCATTACCTTCCTTATACTTTCTCCCTTACCCTGTGCTGTTCAACAATTTTCAGTGTTTCATTCTGTCTTGCTCCTACAAAGATGTAATGTATTTCATTGTTATGTACTCTCTATCATTCTTTTCTTCTTTCCTTCCTCCTTAGTCTCCTCTAAGAGTCCCACTTTTGGAAACATGTTCTGCATATATTTCTTTGTCTATATGATGATGCTTGTATTTGTATTTTATGTGTTTTCCACATAAAAGAGAAAACACAACCTTTGTCTTTCTGAACCTGGCTAAATTCTCTTAAGATGAAGTTCCATCCATTTACCTGCCAACAACATAGCTAAATAAAATTCCATAGTATACAAATACCACATTTTCTTAATCCATTCGTCAGTAATGGGGCATCTTGGCTATTTCCATAACTTGGCTATTGTAAATAGTGCTGCAACAAACATAGGTGTGCAGGTGCTTTTGCAATAACCTGAGTTATTCCTCAGGTTACATTCCTTTGGGTATCCCTATGAGTGATATTGCTGGATCATATGGCAGATTATGTTTAGTTTTTTAAGAAGCCTCTATATTGTTTTCCAAAGTGGTTGTACTAGCTTACATTTCCACCAACAGTGTATGAGGGTTCCTTTTTCCCACATTTTCTGTGCCCACTTTTATATGTGAGAGAACATAGGCAGAAAGATCTAGTAACTTGCTGAAGGTTGCATGGCTGTCAAGTGGTGCAGCTGGGATTTGAACCCAGGCAATGTGGCTTCAGAGTCCACAATCGTAACTACTTAGTGATGCAACCTCATGTGGTGCCATTACTCAAACTTAGGCTGGCCAGATTTAGCAAACAAAATACTGAAATTCAAGTTGAATTTTAGTTAATAAGTTTTTAGCATAAATATGTCCCATGTAATACTTAGGACATGGCTTATGCTAAAACTTATTTATTGCCTCTCTGAAATTCAGATTTAACTGGGCATACTTAATTTTATCTGGCTATTTCATTCCAACTAATTTTTTACATTTGGGAATTTCAGACAATGGAGTTCATTGAGAGGCACGAACAGGTTACAATAGCCGTGGTTTTTAAAAAGTTAAATATATGTCCTACAATGTATTTTCTCCAAAGTAATGGAGTAATGTTTTAATGAAATTGCCAGACTTAAAACTTCTTTCACCTTGTGCACAATTATTGAGACTGATAATGCCACCCTCTCTTTGTTCAGTTACCAGTGTTCACTGAGTGCCTACTTGTGTTAGGCTGTTTAAGGAAGAAAAGGATGTGCTTGGAACCACATAGGTGATGCCAGAGTCACCACAACTGAAAAAGATCCCCAAAATCTTTTTCTAGAAACTGGTTCTTGGGGTGAAAACACTCTTTTCATGTGTAAAGCACAGGTAGACACACTACAGAAATGGGGATACAATACATCTATGATATTAAAATCCCATGGAGGTGTTTTATGCTTCCATTTATGTGAAATGTCCAGAACGGACAAACCTGTAGACAACCTGATAATTCTTCCCATCCTTACAAACTGTAAGGACTGTTGTGGGTCCTGCACAAATGGCAACTCTCATACATACCACTGTGAAGTTTTCTTTTCTTTTTTAATTAAAAATGTGTTCCCTAGGACCAGGCACTGCATCTCACACCTGAAATTCCGACTACTCAGGAGATGAAGATCAGGAGGATCATAATTCGATGCCCACCCAGGAAGATTGCAGTTCAAGACCAGCCCGGGCAAAAAGTTAATGAGACCCCTTCTCAACCAACAAACCAGACAAGATGCCACACATCTGAAATCCCAGCTATGCAGGATGTAGAGGTAGGAGGACTATGGTCGGACATTGGCTCCCAGTCAAAAACACAAGACCCACAGGGTGTCAGTGGCTCTAACCTGTAATCCTAACTAGTTGGGAGGCTGAGATTGGGAGGATTGTGGTTTGAAACCAGTTCAGGCAAATAACTTCATGAGACCCCATTTCCAAAATAACCTGAGCAAAACAGAAAGGAGATGTGGCTCAACCAGTAGAATGTCTGCTTGGCAAACACAAAGCCCTGAGTTCAAACCGCAGTCCCCACCAAAAACAAACAAAAACAAAATGCAAGACCCTATCCAGAGAAATGCCTAAATGAAAAAGGGTTGGACGTGTGGCTCAAATGGTAAAGCACCACCCTAGCAAGCACAAGGCCCTGAGTTCAAACTCCAGCACCACAAAACCCCCCAAAAAGTGCTCCTTAATGTTCTTAAATCATGTTTTATCATATTAAAAGACAAATAAATAATGAAATAAATATCCTGTGCTTCTTTCAGAATCAGAAAAAAAGCTGGCAGAGTGGCTCAAGTGGTAGAGTACCTGCCTAACAAGCATGAGGCCCTGAGTTCAAGTCCCTATACCACCAAAATAAAGACTTAGAATCAGAAAAAATTCACAAAGGGCGTGATGATTAGGATAAAAGGAAAAACTGTTGAGAAACACTGTTATAAACATATGTTCCTAAGAGTAGCCCTCTGCTCCTCCGTCATCTCCATTAGTCATCCCAAAGGAACACGCCCCCATGGACTTCTGAGGTGATACGAGCAATTGTTCTGATGGATTATGACAGAAATCCACTTAATATGAATCTAATTTTATAGATGTTTTGCTTTTCCTTAAAAAAATCAGATATAGACGGACCTGGGTCCACCATCTCACATGGCACCATCAGCAGAAATTGAGTCATAGTTGTCCCTGTGTATGAGGCAGGACGCCCCAGTGAGTCATAGTTGTCCCTGTGTATGAGGCAGGACGCCCCAGTCTGTCATACCTAATAGAATTTTCCCTGTGTGGGAGCTGGGCAGCAAGAAGATGGTCTCGAATCTCATCCAGTGTTCATTGATCTTCATAAGCTTTAGAAAGTTTCCATGAGGAGCGAAAGATGTATATTAATAAAATATCAGAATCTTCCACTGTCTTTTAAGTCCAGTCTTAGGTTACCAAGATGGTTGTGTGCAACTACTTAATTTATTTGTATTTATGGAATATAATTCCACTGCTTTGATGATACTGTATTTATCTCTTCCACTGTAAATGGATGTTAGGGTTATTTTCAGGCTTCATATGTGACAGACAATCCTGTTATAAATGTGCCCATGCAGGCATGAGAAAATACACCTAGAAATAGAATTATTGGTTTCAAAGTGTTCTACAAATTTATATTTCCCTTAGCATCTTACAAGAAATCCTGTGGGCCCATGTTCTATATAACATTTGGTATTGTCAGACTTCTTTTTTAAGTTTTTATTTTACTTTTGTTCTATTTTTTTTTTTTGAGACAAGGGCTTGCTATGTAACCCAAGCTGGCTTAGCACTTGTGAACCTCCTGCCCCAGCATCCCCAAGCAAACCAAGTGCTGGGTTTACAATCATGCATTGCCACATTCAGCCAGACTTCTTAATTTTTTGATCATGTAAGTATTTATGGAATATTATTCCATTATATGACTATCATATACTTAACACTATATCTCTTTTGTCATTTTGATTTGCATTTTCTTACTTATTAATAAAGTTGGACATCTCTTCATTGTTATCAGTTCTTTGAGTTTTTAAGAAAAAATTTTATTGTGCTGGGCAGGGGTACATTGTGGCATTTACAAAAGTTCTTACAATATATCAAATAATTCAAAGTTGAATTCACCCCCTCCATCATTCTCCTTTATCCCTCTCCCCCCATTCCTGGAGTAGTTTCAACATGTCTCATTTTTCCATTTACAAGTTCTACAAGTTTTACATTCACTTTGGCTTAATCTACCCAAACTCACAAGCTTTGCAGGAACTAGAGAGAGGGTTTAAACCCATCTCTCTGATTCCTGTCACTGAAGTAAACTGCTCAGCTTGTAAGTGTTTGCATTCTTGCTTTCTTTCCTTACAAAGTTGTCTTAAGAATGATCTGTTTTCCCCAATCCACATCTGTAGTAATTTTCTCATAGGAATCGTCTAAGAAATATTCCCACTTCTCTCAGACTGTAAGACGAAGAAAGGTACAATGCTAGGTCACTGTGGCCTCTGAATTGAAGCTCTTGGATACTTTCTGTGGTCTGAGTGGCAGCTTTATGCTCAGTCCTCCTCATTGCCCCATTCCCGGGGGTAGTTACTGAGCCTTCATCACTTAGGAGTGCTTCTGCTGTTTTAGGAATTGGTGACCTTCAACGATGTGGTTGTGGACTTCAGCCCAGAGGAGTTAACATACCTTAGTGATGCTCAGAAGAATCTCTACCGTGAGGTGACACTGGAGAATTTCCAGAACCTGGTGTCTGTAGGTAAGGATGCACTCTCCTTAGAACTCAGTTTCTGCCCACTAGGTCCATGGTTCTCTGCTCTTTCTGTGTGCTCCATCGGTACTGTAATACCAGATTCACTGTGGATCATAAAGAGCTAACACTAAACTAAGTGGTCATACTTCTCACACTAGTGTCAGCACTCTGCCTGTTCTATGTCCTTAAATCCTCACACTAGTCCTATAAGAGGGGTGTACGCTTCATCTTATTGCTGTTACTATTATTGCTGTTTTATTGGAAGCTGAGGCATGAAAAGGTTAAATTACTTGCTTAATGCTGGGATTTGAATGTAAATGGTCTGACTGTAGAATCTGTTCCCTTAAACTCTAATGTGCTGCCTGAAAGATATTCCTCTCCTGCTTTCTTTCAAACCACCCAATTCTATCAGGTAGCATCTGTCAGCCTCCATTTTAGCAGAGAGAACAGACCTCAGGCCTGAGCCTTGACTTAGGCAACAGAATCTAGTCAGTACTCAATAACCTTAGTTTCTGCTTATATCTATTGGTATATTACCACAAGTTGATTTTTTTTTTTTGCAAATGACATTGGTTTCTGTGTATAGGGCATGTAGAAAGCTTCCATTTAACGTAAGTACATTTAATTTTAAAAGACCTAAAGAAAAATATTAAGCCAGGTATGGTGGCTCCCACCTGTAATCCTAGCTACTCAGGAGACAGAGATTGGGAGGATTTCAGTTCAAGGCCAGTCCAGGGAAAAAGTTAGCAAGACCCCATCTCAACCAATAAAAGCTGGGCATGGTGGTGCGTGCCTGTCATCCCAGCTATGCAGGAAACATAAATAGGAAGATTGTGGTCCAGGCTTGCCTGGGCATAAATATAAAACCCTATTCCATAAATACATAAAGCCAAAAGGGCTGGAGGCATGGCTCAAGGGTTGAGCACCTGCCTAGCAAGCACAAGGTCCTGAGTTCAAACCTCCAAAAAAGAGAAAAATATTAATTAAATACTAAATACTAGTACAGATGACTTCTAGATGTGGCCAAAATGTGAGTATCATTTATTAAATTGTCAGTGAAGTTACAATGTCCCAGATCTGGTATAGGTATTAGGTTACAAAATAGATGACAATTCCTGTTCTCTTGGATGTTATAGTTGAGTGGGAAGAGATGGTGAATAAGTAAACAATAAGGTGGAGTAAAGATGATTGAAGTCTGAGAACAGAACTAAGGCATGGGGAGGAGCAAACAAAGGAGGAATGGAGGTTATCACAAGAGGAAAAAGAACTGTGGTGTCACTCACTTTTTGAGCAGCTATGTCAGATTCCCATGCTGAAGCACAAAGCTCAGCACACTACTCTCATTGCCTCTTCAGTTTTTCCTCAATAGCAGTTTCCTCCTTGGTTCTGTTGACATATAGGCCAGGTAATTCTCTACTGTATTGGCCATTTGTTCAAAATATGGAGCAACATCCCTGCCTCCATCTACTAGATGCCAGGAGCATGGTCAGAACAACAGAAGATATCTCCATATATCGCCAGGTGTCTATTGGCAGGAGGGGATGGGGGTGTAGGCACTGAGAACCACTGCTCTATAATCTTAGAAACAGACTTCATTTCGCTTCCCAGGATTGGGAAACCCTTGTTTCCCAGACTTGAGGGGAGTTGCTGAAACTCCAGGTTATGAGTGTTCTTTCTTCAACAGGGTACCAGTTCCCTAAGCCTGACATTATCTCCCTCTTGGAAGAAGAAGAATCACAAGCAATGAAGCAAGACAGCAATACAGTAATTTGTCAGGGTGAGTGATGAGGGGAGGGGAGAAGGGAGTCCTGGGAAGGAAGAGCCCTGCCAAGTTAGTCAGGTGGGGTCCCCGGGGAGATGCTAGTCAGGCAGCATTCCTCAAAGCCCACCTGGGTCAAAAAGAAGGCTGGTAGGTGCTCTCACCGCAGGGACATGCTTTCTCTCCTCAGTACTCCCCCTTATCTCCTTTCTTATGCTCGTCTTTTCCTGCAGCATGAGTTTCTCTTGTTGCCCAGCTCCAGGGAGGCCAGATTTCCTTTCTTCTCATGCCAACTCCTCTGTCCATTTGTATCTTTCTCCTTGTGGCTAGAATCATAGTTCTTTCCTCTTGACCTGAGATAAGCAGAAACCCTCGGTGTGATACTACTTCTCTTTCACTCTGCTTCCCACTTTCCCTCACAATTCCTCAAACTTGTGAGCACTGAAACCCTTCCCTTCCCTTCCCTTCTCTTCCCTTCCCTTCCCTTCTCTTCCCCCCTTCCCTTCCCCTTCCCTTCTCTTCCCTTCCCTTCTCTTCCCTTCCTCTTTGCCTTCCCTTCCCTTCCCTTCCCCTTCTCCTTTGCCTTCCCTTCCCTTCTCCTTTGCCTTCCCTTCTCTTCCTCTTTGCCTTCCCTTCCCTTCCCTTCCCTTCCCTTCCCTTACCCTTTGCCTGCCCTTCCCTTCTCTTCCTCTTTGCCTTCCCTTCCCTTTCCTTCCCTCCCTCTTTGCCTTCCCTTCCCTTCCTCTTTGCCTTCCCTTCCCTTACCTTCCTCTTTACCTTCCCTTCCCTTCCTCTTTGCCTTCCCTTCCCTTCCCTTTTTCCTTCCCTTCCCTTCCCCTTTGCCTTCCCTTCCCTTCCTCTTTGCCTTCCCTTCCCTTCCCTTCTCTTCCTCTTTGCCTTCTCTTCCCTTCCCCTTTGCCGTCCCTTCCCTTCCCTTCCCCTTTGCCTGCCCTTCCCTTCTTTTCCTCTTTGCCTTCCCTTCCCTTCCTCTTAGCCTTCCCTTCCCTCCTCTTGTTCCCTAGTCTTCTCTTTTCACTGTAGGGCTGACCCATACACAAATATGGAACAAGTGTTACAGGCAGAAAGAACAGAAAACAAAAAGGTCCTGAGGTTGGAATAACCTTAAGTGTTCCAAAAAGAGGAAGAAGAGCTATGTAGTCTGAGTGAAGTGGAGGGGTTATGAGATGACATCATAGAAATAGACAAGGACACAGATATGTTAAGGAATATGGATTTTGTTCAGAGTGAAATGCAAAGGTTGTGGATGACATTGAGCAGGGGAATGAGGCAATGGTGTTGCCACTTCATAACTGTGCTGTCCACTATGGTGGTCACTAGCCACATGTGCCTACTTAAATACGAAGTATCCAAAATTATATAAAATTTAACATTAAGTTCCTTAGTCACACCAGCCACAATTCAAATGCTTGATAGCCCCAGGTGGCTCATGGCTACTGTATTGGGCAGCAAAAAATGTATACTATTTTCATTATGACAGGGAGTTCTATTGGACAGCTGTTCTAGAAAGATCCATCCGGTTGTTGTACAGGGAATGGATGGAAAAGCCAAGAAACTGGTTCAGAGCACTGTTGAAGTCCACCAGGCTAAAGATGGTGCAAGCTAGTGCTATGATGGAAGGTTGGCCAGGTTTGAGGTTCTCTTTGAAGGTAGAATTGGAAAAAACGTGCAGAAGTGATGGATATACAGTAGGGTGAAGGAAACAAAGGAGTTATGAGAACTGGGTTGTCTCTTGGTCTTCCATTCTTAGGTCTTCCTTTCAAAGACATTTCCTAATAGATCTAACCCACTGTGATGGGTCCAGCTGTCCCTCTTCTCATGACTTTAAAGTTGTATTCCAGCTCTGCTGTTCCAATTGTACTCTGCTCACATATTTCAAGTGTCTGTCAGGGTACCATCCTTTGTTCATTGTCTCTTCTAAACTACAATCTTATGCTTGGTTTCCTTGATTTCTTTCTTGACCAGAGAATTTTCTTTATAAAGCTCAATTTTATAGCCAGTTTCTTATCACCTTCAGGAGAAAATCCAAACTTTGAGCAAAACATTTCATTTCTTCATCTGGCTTAGAATTCATTTCCCAGCCTCAATTTGGATAGACCTTCCAACTGAAGTTTTGTTTCTGCCTTCCCTGGTCTGTGTGTTTCCACAGTGCAGAGAATTTGCAAGTTGTTCTCTAATCTCTAACCAACCCTCAGGCACCACTTACTAAACCCTGTCATCCTCTCCACTTATTTCCCCTGTCTCTGCTCCAGTAGTCATTTTAATCTGATTGGAGTTCTTTTTTTTACAGACTTCTGATGGTATCTGTTTGTGCTTTGCACAACATAAGCACTTAATAAATGTTGAATTCAAGGAAATTAGTTGTTTAGCAATTGTAGAATGGGTAAAATGAGAGATTAGGATCCAAGAATAAAATCCTTTTGCTTTATTTTGAGCAAGTGGTTTTTGACCTCTTCATTCCAGTCTTTCTGTATTATTGAGGAATGATCCTAAAAACCATGGCAATATGTGTTCTTTAAAAACATTCCATGGGAACTGGTGGAGTGGCTTAAGTGGTAGAGCACCTGCCTAGCAAGTGTGAGGCCCCAAGTTTAAACTGCAGAACCACCACAAAAAATAAAAATAAAAATATTCATGGTAAAAACCAGTTTGGGAAATACTACATTCTGTACCTTCTCTCATTAAAAAAATTTTTTGGCAGTATTGCCTTTTGAACTCTGGGCCTTACTCTTACTATGCAGGTGCTCTACCACTTGAGCCATGCCCCCAGTCCTCTTTTGCTTTAGTCATTTTTCAGGTAGGGTCTTGAGATTTTGCCCAGGCCCGCCTCACACAGTGATCCTCCTGAGTATCTGTGATTGCAGATTGTGCCACCACACCTGGCTTGTTGATTGAGATGAAGGTCTCACTTTTTGCCAGGGCTGGCCTTAAACTGTTATCCTCCTGATCTCTGCCTCTCAAAGAGCTGAGATTACAGGGATGAGCTACTGCACCCAGCCTGTACCTCCCCTCTTTGAGATTTGGGGTGCACATTAAAGGTTCTAAAGAATCCTAGAGAATGAAACTGGCTTGACGTATATAGTATTTCCCCAATCAACTTGACAATGGAACCTCCTTTATGATCACAGCTGTTAGTTTTTCAGAATATGAATGACCTACCAAGCATGGTTTGGAAAATGCTGAGAAACCCCAATGTTAGATCTTTGCCTGGTTTTCTCCTTACTCTATTCTCTGAGTTTCTGGCATCATTGTTAATATGAAGTCTGCCTGCATGACCTCTCTTTCCTCCCCTTCCTCGCCCTTTCTTGTTTGTTGTCCTTTTCATCTTTTTCCAGTTTTCTCCTTAGGTTTGTTTCCAGAGAACTCAAACCTCCATAGTATTGGTTCCATTATCTTTGGTTTCTTTCCTCTATTTTTACTGTAATGGTGTATCTCTCAGAGTAAAAAGAGTGGAGGAACTTTTATATTTCTTTTAGATTGGGAGAAGAGACCTGAAACCAAAGAACCAACCCTAGAGCAAAGCCTGCCTATAGAAAGATCACACTTGGGGGCAGGAATGGAGGGTCTGGCAGTGGGTAACTTCTGGTATGTCTGTGTAGGAGGGTCTGCTGATGATCCAGCAGAATTGCACCAGGGAAGACAGGAGCAACAAATTTTGAGGCCTGAAACAATGTGTGACCTCAAGACCCTTGTTCAGGAAAGAAGCCATAGCAGAGATGAACTTGAAGGAAGCTCTAACCTTACCAAACAGCCAGACAACCTCCCAGAAAAGGATCCCCAGGAATGCACTGCTCCTGGAATTAGTACCAGACCCAAGCCAGTGATGCACATCAGTTGTAAAGTTTGTAAAAGAACCTTTAGTTCTCGAGTGGCCCTTGGAAAACATGAGCCCATCCACTCTGGTAAGAAACCCTTTAAATGTAACCAGTGTGGCCAGGCCTTCTTTCTCATGCCACACCTCACCAGACATCAGAAGACTCATTCTAGTGAGAAGTCCTCCAGTGGCAGCAAACCTGGAAAACCTGTTATCCAGCGTGTGAACCTCTGTGAGCATGTGAGAATTCACAATGAGGAGCGCTACCATGAATGTTATAAGTGTGGCAAAGCTTTCATCCAGGATGCCCACCTTGTTCAACATCTCAAAGCCCACCAGGCAGCAAAGGCCCTTCCCTGCAAGGTGCCCCACAAGAAGACATATTCAATTCGCTATCAACAGAAACATGGCTATGTCGGAGAGAAAGCCTGCCAGTGCTGTGACTGTGGCAAAGTCTTCAGTCAGATTTCACATCTCATTCAGCACTATCAAATTCATGCTTGGGAGAGGCCTTACCAGTGTCAGCTATGTGGGAAGTGTTTTAGCTTACCCTCATACCTCACTCAACATTATCAACTCCATTCTCAAGAGAAGCTAGTTGCATAAGATGACTGTTAAAAAAAAAACATGCAGTCAGGGAACACACTTTTTCAACACTTTGGCTTTATTCTGTACAGATTTTTTGAATGTCTCAAATTTGAGAAGGCCTTATACATCCCCTCACACCTTGTAAATAACTTGAAATTCATGGTGTGGTCAAAAACAATGAATGATTACAAGAGTATGGGACAAATTTTTTCAAGCAAACATTCAACACACGTGTCAATAGTCACACAGGCAAAAGAGTTTACAGAGTATTTGTGTTGCATAGGAAAGAAGCTAATAGATTTTGCCCTTCTTGGGCTGGGGATGTAGCTCAGGGATAAAGTGCTTGCCTAGCCTATGTAAGGCTCTAGGTTCAACCCTAACACCACATTCAAAAATGATTTTCCCTTTCAGTGGACATACTGATGAAAACTTATAATCAACAGTTACGCTTCAGACTGGCAACCTGTGTGTGGCCTGAGTTCTTATAGAGGAGTAAGTACACTGTATATTTACCACATGCAATAAATCAGCACAGTAAAAAGATTTTTTTGAGTTTACAACCTAGGTTGATTCACAAAGCTGATATTATTAGTAATACATTTTCATAGTACCTCATCCTTTATAAAATGCCCTTATGTTATTGTATTTAATATTTTCAAAGAATACTATGAGGTACCTAGTGCTGATATTTATTCCATTATACAGATAAAAGCAAACTTGAAGCTCTAAATTGTCAGTTGATTTGACCAAGTTTGTAAGTACTGGGGCAGGAAGTGAACTTGGGTCTTTTCATTTCTGCCATGTCCTCTTTGAAAAAGAAGTCCAGCACTGTACTGCCTGAAGCCATCTTCCTGTATTGTAATCCCAGCAACACTTTACCTCAAATCAAACAAGGATACTTGTATCTGCAGCAGTTCAGAAAGCTTTCTTAGGGTGAAGTTCTGATAGCTGTTTCTCTAGTGCTTTAAAATAAGATGACAACTTTTTGAGACATGAGTTCAAGGAATTATATGTCTTGCTAAACAGTTTGTTGTAATTGCTCACTATAAAGCTGTTGCTGGTCAACTTGAATATTTTATCAAGTTGAGGATTTTCAGTTTCTTTTTTACTCCTTTTCATTTAAAAAAATCCACTTGAAAGCATCATTTCTGCTTTTTTTTGGTACTGGGGTTTAAACTCAGGGCCTACACTCTGAGTCACTCCACCTGCCGTATTTTTGTAAAGGGTTTTTTTGAGATAGGGTCTCTCAAACTATTTGCCCAGGCTAACTTTGAACTGTGATCCTCCTGATCTCTGCCTCCTGAGTAGCTGGGATTACATGCATGAGCAAATGGTACCTGACTCATTTCTGCTTTTTTGGACTCTGACATCATCAGCATGGCCATCTTCACCTAAAATCCTATTTCTATAATAGTCACACTTCACTCTTTACAGGGGCAAGCCCTAAATTGCATCAAAAGTTTGTTTCACACTACATTACTATGATGTTAACAGTTTTCTGTCATTGACTTGAATGGTAACCAGTTGGACCTGATGTACCAGAACCTGATTCCTTGCTTGGAAAGGGTGAGCCGTTGTCATTCACTGCTCTGATTTTCTCATCCAGACATTTTTGAGGTTGATTTATAATATGAGCTCTAAAGTGGTAGGATCTAAAACAAATAACTTGTCAGAATCTGCACCAGCGTAATGAGTGCTCGCTACACAAGTTTTCTCCTCTTTATTCCTAAAGTTCTTGATGACAGACTCATAGACTAGCTCTCTTGTCTCTCCACAGTTTCCTATCCAACTCACATTAATCTGATTTCTGATCCTGCTGCTATTCCCATGGGAGGACAGAGTGTCAATTTGTCTTCCTCTTGGGAAACTGGCCTTGATGCCTTCATTTAAAGTGGTGTCTACCAGATTTCTCTACTGCAAAGTTGCTACTTTTCCTTTTTAATTAATAAATACCCCATGGGAAAAACTTTTGAGACCATGCAAGTGTCTAGTTTCTTCTCAAACTTTTATCTGTCAGTCACTATGATTTGTGCTAATGATGATTTTCTCTCCCTTATCCCTTTGAATTTTGTAGCTGGACTTGTTCTCTGAGGAAGAGTTGTCCTCCTCATGTATTTATTCACTAATTCATTCAATGTGGCTTTGTGGGTATTTGTTCAATGGGGCATAATCCAGTACTATTATTATTAACTTGCTGTTCAAATGGTTCTACCTCTGGTCATTACAGCTATTTCAAGTAGGTTCCATGCCCTTTCAATAGGCTCCCATCTCTTGAGATTACTTCCTTTCCACACCCTTTCATTTCTTTCCCTTCACTTCCAGGAAGACCCTGTCATTCCTGTATGATAGTTTCCACCTCATCACTGTCTTGTGAAATTTGGCCCTTTCCCAAGTCATTGCCAATCTCATGCTAAAACTACATTCTACCTAGGCTGTTATTTACATTTTTTGGGTGACTTATCTTTTTTAAAAAATTAATGCATCTGTTTAAACAGCAAAATTTCAAATCAACCTTAGACACAAAGTTTGATTGGGTCCAGATTCAGATTCCCTTGTCATCATCTACAAGATGTCATTTTATATTGACTTATTCCAGCCTGGATCCAAATGTGGTCCACAGGTTGCATTTGATTATTGACCTTTTTGGTCTCTTCTAATCTAAAGCAGTCCCCTCACTTTAAAATGCTTCGTGTGACTTTGAGGATAATGTAGACTGTACTTCCCTCCTGACTTACAAATTCTAAAATGCCCAACAGTTAGGCTTTCCTCTTTATATTCAGATTTATTTGTTTAATTTAGAAGCACTCTTTTTAATTTTATTTTTAATTTTGGTAAGCAATACATAACTTGAAGTTTACCATCTTAACAATTTTTAAGCAGACAGCTCAGTAGTTTTAAGTATATTCACATTATTTTCAACAGATCCCAAGAACATTTCTTTTTCCTCTGACAGTACTAGGGTTTGAACTGGGGGCCTTGTGCTTGCTAGGCAGACTCTCTACCACTTAATCCATGTTTTCTAGCCCTCTTTGCTTTAGTTATTTTTCAAATAAGGTCTCACTTTTGTTCAGTGTCAACCTTGAACCATGATCCTCTTCCATAGGCCTCTTCTGGGATTACAGATGTACCACTGCCTGGCGTGTTGTTTGAGATGGGTCTCATTAACTTGTTCCCCAGGCTGTCCTTGAACTGTGGTCTTCTCATTTCTTCCTCCCAAGTAGCTGGAATTGCAGGCATGAGCGACTGTGCTCAGTGCCCCAGCACATTTTCATCTTACAAAACTAAAAATACCAGCTAAACAATAGCTCATTTTCCCTCCCTTCATCTGTTATCATCTACCATTCTAGCACTCGTTTTAAAAAAAAAGCTCTGTATGCTTATGCAAGTAATACTGGGAGAAATGGTCAGTTGTCCTGTGTGTCTCCCACTCTAAATGTGTCTAGTTGCTGCTTCCTGTGGTATTCTTAAACTTGTTTCTTGCCAATGTATCTCCTGTACGTGAAAGTCAGGTCTAGACTCAGGAGACTTAATCCGATTGATTTCCAACCTGTATGGCAAGAACATTATAAGTGTGTTATACATCACATCTCACTGCAAGCACACAGTCTGCTCCAAGCCAATACACGAGTCAGTGGCAAAATGTGTTCAGCATTTTCACCTCACTGGATATTCTTCCTGGACCAGCTGCTTGTTCCCCTTGACTTTTCATTATGTACCTCACCTCCATCACCCCAGCCTAGTCTTTGGATATGTGAATTAAGAGGTAGTGGACACTCCTGAAGGGTCTGGGCGTGGGCTGTCCATTGACGTTCCTGGGCCAGGGGCTAAGGATTCCTGAGGATCTTAACTGGGGAAAGTCAGGGAGCATCAGACAAGATTTCCTTCACCGGTTTTCATGCCATTGGTGAAGACCTGAACAGGTAATACCAGCTGTCACCCTGAAGTCTTTGGGATACATGAGATACATATAAGCCATTGCCTTCATACTTCACAAATTAAACAATGTTGGATGCTCCAACTGTAGCCTTCAGCCTCGTATTTTTCTTGGTGTTATCTTAGTAGGTGCTAAGAATAATGTACTTTCCCCATTGTCCCTTTCAACTCTTACCTGACAGTTCAGCAACTGCTCTTATTTTGAAGTTACGCAACAGATATTTAAATTTAGAAATGCTCATGTTTTAAGGGCTTTTTTGGTGATGCAACTAATAATATACTCCTTGAAGAAAACTAGAAATACAGGCAAGACATGTTGGTGCATACCTGTGGCCCAGCTACTCTGGAGGTGGAGACAGGGTTGTGGCTCAAGGCCAGTCTGAGTAAAGTTAGTGTGAGACCCTATCTGAAAAGACAAAATAAACGCAAAAGGACTGGGGGCATGACTCAAGTGAGGCCCTGAGTTTTACCCTCAATAACTAAAAAAATAAATTAATTAAAATTTTAAAACCTTACAAATACATGTTTGGTTTTTCCTTTGAGTATTTTTTATTTTCTCCTCCCACATATACTTGTTACTAAAAATTTGTGTTCACTTTTTTTATGTACATATGTATATATATATGTGTATAGATATATGTAGTTTTTAAAGTTTTTTTGAAGTTAAATACTGTAAACACTGTTTTGAAGGCTATAGTTTTCAGTCTCATATTTCGAATGTCTTTCCATAGCTCTAAATATACCCTTGAAGTTTTGTTTTTCAGTATTGCCTGAGAATTTGGTTGTATAGCTGTGTCCTAATGTATTTCGCTGGGCCTCCAGAGGTGGAAATAGGTCGGTTGTAATTTACCTCTCGAATTCACATTGCCGCTATAGTTATGCTTCCTCTCCTTTATCTCTTTGGTCTTAGCGTTTTCCTTAGGAATTTTCTAATAGTTAGTCTTGTTTCCCACGGGGAAATTCCCAGCTGTGGAATTTTTTAGCCAACCAGTGTGTATGTCTTGAGGGCTTTGAAAATCTTCCTAGCCTTGTCCCACCAGGGACTGAAAACTGCTGCTTGTTTTCAGGAACAACCACAAAGCACT